CAGACAAGAGTCCAGCAGGGAGGGTGCTTGCCTTGCATGTGGCCAACCAGGGTTCCATCCTGGCATCCCATAGAGTCCCCTAGGCCCACCAGGAGTGACCCCTGAGCACGGAGCCAACATTACTCCTGGAGACCTCAGGACCCTGTGTGTAAGGCAGATTGGCTGTACTACCTTTAGTCCCTCCCCTCCCTCCTATAGTCCTTGCCACCTTTCATTATCCCTGACTATATAAAAGCCATCTGAGCCATAACAGCAGGTAGGACACTCGGCTGACACAGACCAACTCTGATTCAATCCCCAGCACCCTAAGTGGTCCCCCAATCCCCCAGCAGGAATAATCCCTGAGCAGAGCCTGGAGTTAGCCCGGCCTGCCCCGGTGGGGCCCCAAACAAAACACAAAAGCCTGCCCATATTTGACCTTTTTTTTTTAAATTTTGCTTTTTGTGTCACACCCAGCGATACTTAGGGGTTACTCCTGGCTCTGCGCTCAGGAATTACTCCTGGCGGTGCTTGGGGGACCCTATGAGATGCCAGGGATCGAACCCAGGTCAGCCAAGTGAAAGGCAAACGCCCTACCCGCTGTGCTATCGCTCCGCCCCCCCCCCATATTTGAAAGGGAGATAACTTAATCCCAAGTCACGGTTCCCCCCAACAGCACCCAGCTCTCGGCTTCTCGGACTCCTGCTCCCCAACACCCCCAGGGCCCCAAGAAGCAGCTCTGACTTTCCTTCCTGCCACCTTCCTGTCTTGGGCACAGCCGGCCAGCTGGCCGGGCTTGCCGTTCCCTCCCTTCCTTGCCTGCTCTCTTCCGGTGTTTTATTTCCTTATTTTTGGCTTTTTGGGTCACACCCAGCAGTGCTCGGGGCTTACTGCTCGCTCTGCACTGAGGAATTACTCCTGGGACACACGGGATGGGGCGGGGGGCGGGGGGTAACTTTATGGGATAGGGGGGATCGAACCCGGGTTGGCCGCCTGCAAGGCAAAGGCACTACCCGCTGTGCTATCATAGCGCTGGGTCCCTCTTCCTTCCCGGTGTTTACAAGCTTTCCCCAGTTTGTAAGGAAACCAGGCCTGCGTCTGTGAACTCCAGACTACATGTGCCCAACATTCCAGATTTCACCCGAGAACGGATATCACAGGAGATGCATTGCACTCATTGTTCTGGTTGTTTTTATACTCAGTTGATACTTTTTTTTTTTTTTGGCTTTTTGGGTCACACCTGGTGATGCACTGGGGTTACTCCTGGCTCTTCACTCAGGAATTACTCCTGGCAGTATTCTGGGGGACCATATGGGATGCTGGGAATCAAACCCAGGTCAGCCGCATGCAATGCAAACACCCTACCCACTGTGCCATCACTCCAGCCCGGATACTTTTTTTTTTTAAAGGCTTTTGGAGGGGGCAGAGAGAAAAGGCGGCAGGAGAGGAGCTTGCCTTGTATGCTCCACCAGCAATGCTCAGCGGCTCAGGCATTACCTGGGAGACCCCTGCAGTACATGGAAACTTTTTCTTTTTAGTTAAAATTTTAAAATGTTATTGGGGGGGGGGCTGGAGAGATAGCACAGCGGGTAGGGTGTTTGCTTGCACACGGCCGACCCAGGTTCGATTCCCAGCATCCCATAGGGTCCCCTGAGCACCACCAGGAGTAACACCTGTGCATCGTCAGGTTTGACCCAAGAAAAGCAAAAAAAAAAAAAAAAAGTGATTTAGTTATTTGGTTTTGGGCTCTGTGCTCAGGAATCACTTCTGGTGGGACCATATGGGATGCCAGGGATCGAACTTGGGTCAGCCAGAGTCACATCCCTGGCACCCCATCTCATCCCCCATGCCTGCCGGGAGAGATGCCTGACTGCTGAGCCAGGAGTAAGCCCTGAGCACTGCTGGATGAGGCCCCCAAATCAACAACAACAACCTGAGTAGTACTGGAAAGGTGCCTCCAAGAAATAAAAATTTAAAAGGATTCACATAATGACTGCACCCCACTTTTTTGCAAAAAAAGAAAAAAGTCTCAACATAAAATCTACACTGGGCTACAGAGAGTTCAAGGCTTTGCCTATAGGAGATCCTGGGTTAGATCCCCAAAACTGCATAGGGTCCCCTGAGCACCCCATCAACCACACCCTGGCACTGAGTTGATAAGGAGTTGCTGAGCGCTGCTAGGAATGGCCCCAAATCTCAAAATTAGCTACAAGAGGGCAGTGAAAAATCGTTCCTGTCATGTCTGGGGATGGAGCCCAATATGAGTGGATATCAATATCTTTTTTGGGGGGAGTGTCACACCTGGCAATGCACAGGGGTTACTCCTGGCTCTGAACTCAGGAATTACTCCTGGCGGTGCGCGGGGGACCCTATGGGATGCTGGGAATCGAACCCGGGTTGGTTGCATGCAAGGCAAACGCCCTACCCGCTGTGCTATCGCCCCAGCTCCATGAGTGGAGATCAATATCCAGCACATCACAATCAAGTACAACCACATTCATATTCAAGACTTTTTTTTCCTCTTCCCCTGCCCGGGCTCATAAGGGGATTTTTGTAGCGTACGTGCACTTCCCCCAGCGTCCACTAGGGTGCAGGGATGCTCAGTATGAATCAGCCTCACGCCATCGCGCGAGGCTCAGAGAGGCGCAGGGACCAGCCCAGCAACACACAGCGAGATGACCTGACTTCCTTTCGCCTTCCAATATCGACTCCTCTGGTCCGATGACTTGCCATTTGTTAGGGAGCACACCCCCTGAGGCTCACGGGCTCTTTGCGTTAAGGGGCTGCTCCTGGGGGGTGCTGGGGATCTTACAAGGGTATCCTCCATGCCCAGCTTGTTCAAGAACCCTCCCTGGCCCTCATGATGACATGCCCAGAGGCCACCAAGACTTGAACTCTCGGCCAACCAGAATCGCATCCCCGGAACCCCATCTCATCCCTCAAGCCTGCCAGGAGTAATGCCTAAGTGCAGAGCCAGGAGAAAGTCCTGAGCACTGCTGGGTGAGGCTCCCAAATCACAACAAATCTCTAGTCCCTCTGCTAAAGGAAAAAACTTTTCATGTCAATTTTCAAGCTTCTACCCCAAAGCTATCAATGGTAGGGATTGAGAGGGCATCCCAGGGGCTGGGGGCTTGTCCCGTCCCCCTCCTCAGCCAATAACCAACATTTGGACTCAAAAGATGCCATTGCTTCCTAGACCCCTCAAACCTTCCTCCCCAGAGGCAGCCTTCTGGGCTGAACAGAGAGATTTCCTGAGCCACCCTAGGACACACAGCACAGCCTGTGCTAACTTCACCCCTCACCGTGGAGGGTGAGGTGCCCTGTCAAGGCAGGTCTGGGGGGGCTGAAGTGATTTAGTACAGCGGGTTTGCCTTGTACGCCGCCGACCCAGGTTCAATTCCCAGCATCCCATATGGTCCCCTGAGCTCCGCCAGGAGTATTTCCTGAGTGCATGAGCCAGGAATAACCCCTGTGCACCACCAGGTGTGACCCAAAAAATAAATAAAAGTAGGTCCGAATGCATGCCCTTCACCCTTGAGCACCACTCATGGGTGCCTCCGAAAAAGAGCAGCAGGGACTGAATCACAAGTTCATTGGGTAGGATGCTTGCTTTGCACAAGGCTGAACTAGGTTCCATCCCCAGCATCCTATATGGTCCCAAGTCCACTCAGGGTAATTCCTGAGTGCAGAGCCAGGAATAAGCACTGATTACTGCCAGGTGTGCCGCCCCGGCCCTTCCCTGCAAAAAAAGAAAAAGAAAGAAAGAAAAGAAAAAGGAAACAAAAGAAAAGAATGCATGCAAGCTGGTGCAGATGGAAATCAAGGGTTAAGAGGTCCCCTACAGCATCGTCCCTCCATCGTCCACAGCTTTAAGACTGTGGGGCAGTCGCCGGGTCTGCTGAGCTGGGATAGTAACAGCGGTGGCCCATGGCAACTGCAGTGACCAATGGCATTGCCTAAACTGCTGTCCCGTTCCTCTGTCAGCTGCCGAGGGAACAGGGGACAGGCCACGCGGAAGGATTAACGCCGTCTGACGCCAGTTTCCAGGGCCAGCCCAGGCTCTCTGCCTGTCACTAACTTCAAGGGAAGGGGGTGGGCTTGGGGCGGGAAATCAAGGTGGCAAGTGGGGCTGAAACCCCCAGCACCCAGTAAAGTGCACCTGCAAGGCTCACTGTGTGGGCACCGACGGTACCACCTACCAGCAACCGCCCCGCTACCCCCGTCCAAACGCACATCCCAGTTTGGACTCGGCTTGGTTCCTTCCCGCCTGCAGCCCTGTAACCCCTTAGGGGCTGCAGAGCAGGAAGCAGAAACCCCACCGTGCAGATGCAAAAGGGGGTTCTGTACAAGGGATGACCCAGAATGATGAGTACCACCGACTCCTCCATCCCTCTCCCTCTCTCCACTATCTCCTCTACTCGGATCCCCCTCACAGCCTTTCCAGGCTCCCAGCCTCAACCCCACGGCGGCTTCCTCGCCCTCCGGCAACGGAAGCTGGGTGACCTTGGACAAGGCACAGACCCTCTCTGGACCCCCGACATCCTGCAAGCAGTAACGATTGCTCTGGAAAGACGCGATCGGTTCCCCAACTCGCAATCGCTGCAAGGCTGGGGGGGGGCAATCTAAGATACTCTCATTTTCCGGAGGCTGGCACCTGGACTGGTTGGTAAAATGTTTGGAGACGGAGGGCCGAGTAACTGCGCGGACCCCGTTTCGGAGTCATCCCAGCGACTGGGCCGGACCTGTAAGCCAGGCGACATCGGGCGTGACGATCTGCGCATGCGCGGGGCGCGGGCATGCTGGGACTTGTAGTTCCCAGGCGCTTTCCCAAGTACGACGCTTGGACCCACCAGACGGAGCGATGCGCAGAGCGGCTCTGGCTCCGCGTCCCGGGGCAGCGAGCTCCGGGCCCTGCGGGCCGAAAGCCCTCGGCTGCTCTCCGATCTGGGGGCGGCAGCCGCCCTTTGGCGCTCCGTCCTTACTGCTACCGCACCTGCGGTGTGCACAGAGCCCGGCGTTACCTGGGGCCGCGGCGGGGCTCCACCCTCACCGGGCGGCCGGCGCGTCGCTCCGGCTGCAGCCCGGAGTCTCGGTCCCGCTGCGGCCCCGGCGCTGCTCCCTGCAGTGGAGGCCTCCGCGGCTATCAGCCCCGGGTGGACATGCGCGCAAGCGGCGCCCACGCCGGCGGCTCCGCTGCACCCCAGATCCCGCTCCCGCCCGCTCCGTGCAATTCAGGTGGATCCCGGCGCGGGCGGAGCGACCGGCACCGAGTGGGGGTGTGGCCAGGATGGGCGTGGGCGTGGCCAGGACGGGGAGTGGGCGTGGCCGGAACGGCGCTGCGGGGCCGTGCAGGCCACGCCCACACACCGGCCGGCGGCGAAGGGCGTGCAAGGGCGCAGCGCCCCCGAGCTGGGCACCCCGCGGTGCGCTTGTAGGCGCGTGACCTTGGACCAGACTCCGGACTCCCACTCCGAACCAGTGAAATTGGGGAAGAAGATACGAGCCGCTCCTTGGAAGCTCAAAGAATCTTAGTTTGGGGGTCGGAGCGAAAGAGCTGTATCCCTGGCACCCCACCTCCCCTCACAGGGTCCCCTGAGCACAGCCAGAAGTGATGCAGAACCAGGAGTAAGCTCTGTGCTTCGCCTTGTAAGATCCCTCCCCCCCCACACACACACACACAAAAGAATCTTACTTTGTTCTCCCTCCCAGGTTTAGATTAGAGTATTGGGGTGTGGGGCCCGGAATTTAATACATAAAATAGAGACTCAAAAGTCAGTTCAGTTTGGTTCTCCCTTTGGACCACGCGCTGGAAGCCTCACTTTGCCTCACAAAGAAATGCAATGCAAATTCTTTCCGGAGGTTGGGAATCGCCGGAGACAAGGGGGCGTGTATGTCCAGCGCTAGTGTCAGCTTGGACTAGAGAGCGGCTGATACTGGCTCAGGTCCCGCACCCCCAGTCCCAGAGGGGACCCCCAGCCGCTCTTCCTCCTTGAGCAAGTCAGACCCGCGAGGACTACTGCTCCCAGCGTGCCGCGGTCCAGCTGGAGCATGCCGGGAGTTGTAGTCTTTCCAGCCCTCGCCTCGAACCTCCCGCTCAAGACTCCGTTTTCTCAGCTTGGAGTTTGGTTTCCTCCAAGAGTCCTCTGCTGCGTTTTGGTGAATTTATTTATTAAGTTATTTGATTAGCTTTTTAAAGAATTTTTTTGGGGTGACACCCTATGGTGTTCAGGAACTATTCCTAGCCCCCTACTCCTGGTTGCTCCCAGCCAGCCTGGGGAACCACATGTGGGGCAAGTAACCCACGTGTTTTTTTTTTTTTAATCCACAAGCTATTTCCTGGGCCCTGATTGGTTGATTTAAATTTCAGTTTCTGGTGGTGAGAAGATATAATGGTGATGGGATTGGTGTTGGAATATTGTCACAGTAACTGTCACTGTCCTCCCGTTGTTCATCGATTTGTGGGCCCAGTAATGTCTCCATTGTGAGAATGGAGTCTTGTTACTGTGTTTGGCATATCGAATACATCATGGGTAGCTTGCCAGGCTTTGCCCTGCGGGCGAGAGACTCTCGGTAACTTGCCGGGCTCTCCAAGAGGGGCGGAGGAATCGAACTCGGGTGGGCCAGGTTGGCTGCATGCAAGGCAAACGCCCTACCTGCTGTGCAATTAATGTGATCAACTCTATAAAAAGAAAGAAATTTTCCATTTGTTGAGCTCTTAACATACTTCAAGCAAGACAGGTTTTAGAAGAAACAGTATCTTTTAAAAATTAATTTAATTAATTCATTTTGGGTTTTGGACCACACCCGGTGGTGGTACTCAGGATTTACTCCTGGCTCTGTGCTCAGTACTCTATACTCACTTCCTGTGGTTTCCAGGAACCATATGGGATGCAGAGGATTGAAGCCAGGTCGGTGGTGTGCAAAGCAAACACCCTACCCGCTGTACTAGCTCTGACTTGAATAGTATTCTCTTTAAAGTCTAACCACCCAGTGACAGAAAATTATTATTTCACGTGACACCTGCTTTTATTTTTTTATTATTTTTAATAGCACTGTAGCACTGTCCTCCCGTTGTTCATCCATTTGCTCGAGCGGGCACCAGTAACGTCTCCATTGTGAGACTTGTTACTGTTTTTGGCATATCGAATATGTCACGATTAGCTTGCCAGGCTTTTGCCATGTGGGCACGATACTCTTGGTAGCTTGCCAGGATCTCCGAGAGGAGCGGAGGAATCGAACCGGGGTTGGCCCAGGTGGGCTGCGTGCAAGGCAAGCGCCCTACCCGCTGTGCTATCGCTCCAGCCCATTTTTTAATATAAATTATGTATTTATTGTTTTTTGGGGGACCACACCAATAATTCTACTGGCTCTGCGCTCAGGAACAGTGCTTGTGGAACCATATGCTGTGCTGGTGATTCAACTCTGGTCAAAGTCATGTGCAAGGTAAGCCTTACCTTGGTGACATCTGCTTTACAACTAATTGTAGCTTTTATTTTATTATTTCCCTTTTGCCACAACCAGCAGTGCTCATGACTGACTCCTGGCTCTGTGCTCAGGCATCACTCTTGCTTAGGGTATCCTGTGAGGTACTTGGGATGATCCCGGCATCTGCTATGTGCAAGCCAAGCCCCATATCTGCATATATATATATATATATATATATATATATATATATTCTCTCCCATCCCTGTCACTTACTTTTCAACAAAATTTTCCTCCCATCACAATTATATTACAGTCTAATTTAGGCACAGAGCCTGGAGTAAAACCTGAGCACTGCCAGGCGCAGCCTCCAAATCAAAGTAAAATAAAGATAAGGTCTACTTACTGGTATAATTTACAGATGTACGATTAAAAGAACAAAGCTTATGTATAAAGTGCAATGAAGTTCTTTTGTACTCACTTTAATGTAATCATGACCTTTGGGGCCAGAGAGATAGTACAGTGGGTAAGAGGCTTGCCTTACGCTTCGTTGCCCGGGGTTCAATCCCCAGCATCACACTTGAAGCCCTGAGCCCCATCAGAAGTGATCCCTCAGTACAGAACCAGGAGAAAATCCTAAGCACCACTGGGTGTGTCCCCCGTCCTCTCTCTTCAAAAAAGCATCCTAAAACCCTAATCTAGAACTAGAACACCTTTATCACTCCAGAAAGCTCTTGCATCTGCCAATCATAACTATCCATCAATTCCTGTCACTCCAGAATGAACCTTAGCCATTGGATGCAAAGCATAAGTCCATCCCAGTTCCAACCAGTTTAATTTGTTTTTGTTTTACTTTGAGGGGGGCCCTGGTGGGGGGCGAGCTTGGGACCACACCAGCAGCGCTCAGCCCCTAATTCCTGACTCTGGACTCGGGAGTGCCCCCTGGCGGTATTTCGCGGTACTATATGCCGCACTGGGGATTGAACAGGGAACAATAGATCTGATGCAAGGCAAACACGCCTTATTATTTATTTATTTATTTATTTATTTTGCTTTTTGGGTCACACCCAGCAATGCACAGGGGTTAATCCTGGCTCTGCGCTCAGGAATTACCCCTGGCGGCGCTCAGGGGACCATATGGGACGCTGGGAATCGAACCGCGGGCGGCCGCGTGCAAGGCAAACGCCCTACCCACTGTGCTCTTGCTCCATACCCACAAACACGACTTATATTCTCCCTCCAGCCCCCAACAGATTCGTTTTCTGTTTTCAAAACTTCATTTAAGCGGACTGACTGTAGAAATGCCACAGCTTTGCGGCAGCCTTACCCTTCATATGTGTTTGAGGTCCAGTCTGTAACCTTTTTTTTTTTTTTTTTTTTTGCTTTTTGGTTTTGGGGTTGCAAACCAGAGATGCTCAGGGCTTACTCCTGGCTCTGCACTCAGGAATCAACACTGGTGGTGCTCCAGAGACCGTATGGTGCTCGTGGGACCTTAGCGGATGCTGGAGATCAAACTCAGGTGGGCTGCGTCTAGGGCAAAGGCCCTGCCGGCTGTCTCTCTCTGGCATCTCAGTCTGTTACTTTTTATGTATACTGTCTTCACCGGGATAGGTCTTGGGATACAATTAACATCACTTAAAGAGGCTTGAAGCATATTGAAACATACACCTTAAAAAATATTTCCCAGGATGAAACTAGGGAACACATCCCCTGTGCTAGCGTTCATACATACATACATGGTTGGGATGACACCATGGAAACTCGACTCAGGGGCCAGAGCGATAATGCAGCTAGCAGGATCCTTGTCTTGCACTCAGAGATCGCTTCTGCTGGGGCTCAAGGGGACCCTATGGGGTGCTGGGGATCAAAGACAGGTCAGCTGTGTGCAAGGCAAGCATCTACTTGCTGTACTCTCTCCAGCTCCAAAGGACAAATAAATTTTTATGATTTATTTGCTTAACCAGGGATCAACCCCAAAATCTCATACATGCAAGGTATTAACCACTAAGCCACCACCTTCTCTGGAAGTTTATTTTTTGTTTTGTTTTGTTTTATTAGGCCATAACCTATAATGCTCAGTGGTTACTCCTGGATCTGCTCAGGAATCACTCCTGGTAGTGCTCAGGGGATCTTGTAGGATGCCCGGGATGGAACCCAGGTTGGCCACGTGCAAGGCAAACGCCCTCCCCACGGTACCATCACTCTGGCTCTACTCTCGAAGTTTTTAGGATCAAATTTTTCATTTTGGTTTGCTTTTTGAGCCACCCTTGAAGGTGCTCAGTTCTTACTTCGGGCTCTGTGCTCAGGAGTCACTCCTGGGGGTGCTCAGAGGACAGACGGAGTGTCAGGGAATGTAACCTGGGCCAGTCACATGCAAAGCAAAGTGACCTACCGGCTGTACTATCGCTCTAGTCATTAGATATGGGATTTTTTTTGTTTGGTTGTTTTTTGGGCCACCCTGACCCTGCTCAGGGCTTAATTCTGGGTCTGTGCTTAGAGATCATTCCTGGTGGGCTCGGGGGACCCTATGAGGTGGCTGGGCATCAAACCCGGTAGGCCACGTGCAAGGCAAACGCCCTGCCTACAGCACTATCGCTCCCGCTCTGAAAACGGTCCATTTAAAAAGCATAACATTAGGAACTGAAAAAATAAAGCGGCTGTTTTCTGTTCTTGCCCTTTGTTACTCTTGTTAATTTCACGCCTTAGTGGCTTACCGGGTAAATGACCTCCCCAAATGGCCAGATGTTTCTAAGAGCTGTCCATAAATAACATTCCTACAGAAGGAGCACAAACAGAATTTCATTAGGCTCCAGGACAGGATTCAGCTGAATTTGCTGAAGGGCTGGAAT